GGCTTCCAAAAGGCCCAAGAGATACCCCACGAAACCCCAAGAGACCCCCAAGAGGCGCCGAAACCACCTCCAAGAGGCCCCGGAAAGACCTCCCACGATACCCCAACACATATACACGAGGCCTCATACCCACAACCCAGACAGGGTGGCGGAGTGGGCCGAACGCAAGTGGGAAAACTCCAACGTGTCAATATGCAATGATAATTCCTATCCGCCCCGCATGATATGCCCAGATGCGCCAAGGCAGCTCCGAAACGCACCGACGCGACGCTGATATATATATATATATATCATTATGATAGAGAGGGGGCCGGCGGCAGGGGGCGACGCCCTTACGGATAAACGAATGCGCGCGCATCATACTGTTTGACAAGGATGAAAAAAAGGGTTGGGGGCGATGCCCGGTCAGGCTGGGACGGTCATAAGAAACATACACGATGGAACACATTGTAGCATCGCGATGTATGTCGATAGCTCGGCGAGCGGGGGAACCGTGGTGGAGCCGATTTTTCTTTTGAACAAAAGGTCCTCCAGGGTGCAACTAATTTCTCTTCGCAATGAGTCGTTCACTCCATTGCTCGCGCAAGCATCCCACCCACCCGCCCGCAAATTAGCTTGCAAAACAAGTGTGGCGGCGACTGCGATGATTGCTTGGAGTTGGCTGGGGCATCTCCGCGGCAGCGCAAGCCCGCGCATGCTCGCGCGCGCAGCGGCCAGATAGTTTGACGCTCGCGACGCGGCCGCGGTGGCGTTGACTGCTAGGCACTTCCCAGCGGGCACTGCAGTGCGAGTCGGCGACTTGGGCCGGCGCGGTATCATGGCAAGGCCGGCAACGGTGGACGCGATGATGCTGGTAGTGATGCTGGTGCCGATGCTGACAACGACGACGGCAACGCCAATGACGGCGCCGTTGCTGATCACGCCGACGACGATGACGGCGCCCTCGCGTCGGTGATGCGCGCGCTGCGCGCGCGGCCCACGCGCGCGAGTGGCCCGCGTGGCATGATTCGCTGCGGGTCATGCCCCCCCCCCCCAGCACGCGCGCAAGGGCGTTCGAGTGATTTCGACGTGCGGCGTGAGGTGCCCGTGTGGCTGAATGTAAGAATGTAACGGACATGTTGAGCAACCTGCGTTTTTCTCAGGATTCGCAAGGGCCCGGGTGCGACTTGTTGGTTTGTCTTGCATCTTGTTGCGTTGTAAAAAACTTATTGTTATGACGCCACTGCTTGTTTAAAACATTGTTTTCGAATCGCTCTGTCTTGAACGCCTTACGACATCTAGCAAATTATTGGAGGATTTCGGCACGCGCGTGCGACGACGCGCGCGCGTGCGCACTCCATCTCGTTTTTTTGCATGAGCTTCTTACGACAGCAGGCGCGCAAGGGCTTCCGAGCAATTCCGACACGCGCGCGCAAAAGGCCAGTTTGGTAGCAAGTCAGGTTTTCATATTAATATATTTGTATACAGATATTCGCATTTATATATACACATACTTACAAACCATGTTTCCAACATTCGCGAGACACCGAACGCACCTTTTCAACATGCTTGTTGTGAAACCACGTGCTTTCGTATGTTTTCGGGACACTCGGTTTGGAATTCCATACGACACCTACAATTCTTTTTTAAGTCTCCGGCATGCGCACGCGATGACGCGCGCGTGTCAACTTCGTCTGTCTTTTTGTCAAGGGTTCTTGACAACTGATGGTTTTTGATGAAAGACTGCGCGCGCACAGTATTGTCTTGCAAATGATTAGGGGGGGTACCGATACCTGCCTGCCCGGGATGGTATGAACTCATGTAGGATGGACGATGGGGCAGAATTCTGCGTAAAGTGCACTACGCAAAAGGGGGCCGTTAATTCCGAGGGGGGGGGGGGGGGTAGATCCTAGTACTCCCTTAGAAAGGAGAATGAACGTATCTTTGTAAATCGTAGGTTGTCAATTCCCCTGCTTGCGCAACCACCTCGCCTTCCCATCCGCAGCTTGCTCCACAACGCCCACGCGGCCAAGGTTGCGAATGTGCTTCGCGCTGGCTGGCGCATCTCTGCGGCCGCGCTGGCGCGCCCAAGCTCGCGTGCACAACGGCTGGCTGGGTTGGCGCAGCCGATGCAGCCGCGATGGCGCTTGCCAGCGGGAGCTTCCCAGCGCGTCCCAATGGCTGTGATGGCGCGCGGGCACTTCGGTGCGGGTGTGTGACTCGGGCGCAGTGTCATGATGACGCCGACAACTGCATCGACGATGATGATAGTACTGGTGGTAGTGGCGGTGGTGGCGATGACGACGGCAAGACCAATCGATGACGGCGACGATGCTGGTGACGACGATGACAATGATGACGTCCATGCGTCGGTGATGAAAGTGCTTGGCTGATGATGGCGGCTCTGGCGATGATTGACAATGCGATGGTGCCGAACAAGTGCGCGCGCGCGGAAATGAAAGACACCAGGCAGACTTCCTGTTGGAAGCCATGTTCTCATATGCTTCTTAAGCGCTCTATCTTGAAATGCATCGGCGCCGATAGTGCTAGAGGGACTCCGACAGGCGCGTGGCGGCGCTCTCGTAACCCGCACGGTCTTATTTGAACCGGACTCGTGCGTTGGGCGCGTGCTAGATCGACGCGGATGAGTCGCGTCGTGAAGTAAATGATCGATCCACCAACCCGGAAAGGAATCTAGAACTGTAACACATGGCAGCGTTTTCAAAGACACCTGATTGGGTGACGGGCAAATGCAATGCTGAAGGTATCGATCTTGATGTACCCTGTGCTGTGCTGCGCCGTGCTGAATTGCGATGTGCCATGCCGCGATTGTGCTCTATAGCCTCGTGGATCGAGTCCTCCTTTGCATCCGAGTCCTGACCGAACTGATCTGGATCTTAAGCTCGAGCTGCCTGAACACGTAGTAGCTGCCCCAGAGCTAATGGACAACGGGACATGCCAGGAGGACGCGCCGCGAAACGTCCCAAGGGATGCGCCAGGCGACGTGCCAGGGGACGTGCCATGGGGTCGCACCGCGGGACGTGCCAAGGGGACGCGCTACGGAACGTGCCAATGGATGTGCCACGGGATGTGCCAGGGGACGCGCCACGCGACGTGTCAGGGGGACTCGCCAAGGGACGCCCCACGGAACGTGCCAAGGAACGTGCCAAGTTGCAATGCTGAGTGTATCGATCTTGATGTACCGTGCCGAAATCTGTGCTGTGCTGCGCCGTGCTGAATTGCGATGTGCCATGCCGCGATTGTGCTCTATAGCCTCGTGGATCGAGTCCTCCTTTGCATCCGAGTCCTGACCGAACTGATCTGGATCTTAAGCTCGAGCTGCCTGAACACGTAGTAGCTGCCCCAGAGCTAATGGACAACGGGACGCCAGGAGGACGCGACGCGGAACGTCTCAAGGGACGCGCCAAGCGACGTGCCAAGGGACGTGCCATGGGAACGCACCGCGGGACGTGCCAAGGGGACGCGCTGCGGAACGTGCTGGGGACAAGCGTTTCGCTCGAGACATCCTGTCAAAATCATCAGAATTCCTTCGCGCGGGACGCGGCACGCGCGAGACATCCTCGGAATCCCTGCGAGCGGGACGTGGAAACAAGCATTTCGCCTGAGACATCCTTTGAATTCTGGCCCCCCACGAGGCCCCCGCTCGAGATATCCCCCAATTTTGCAAAACCAGCGTTTCGCTAGAGACATCCTCAACAAATTCTGAAAAACAAGCGTTCGCTCGAGACATCCTGTCAAAATCCCAAGAAATCCAAGCAAAACAAGCGAATTAGTCGAGACATCCTCAAAATTCCTGCGCGCGGGACGCGGCACGCGCGAGACATCCTCGGAATTCCTGCGCGCGGGGCGCTTTTCGGACGCTCCGCACCTTTTTTCTACGAGGGAAAACGGGGGTCTGCGGACCTTGTCTTTTCATCGAGGATCCGAAATGGGGGGCGCACTTTCCTCGAGCGGGCACGCACGAAACGCACTTTTAAACACAAATCAGCACTTTACCTTGCTACTTACGCAGAATAATTTCGCCGGCCCTCAACAAGTTCAAAGCCGGGGGTAAACCATCTAAAAGAGAACCCTGGGCCGACGCCCCTTCCGGGAAAAGTGCGGCTCGTGGGCGAGACTGCCGCAGCCATGAGACTCATGCTCTCGGCATGGGAGCGCGGGCAGAGTACCTGCGATATCTGTGACGAACGACCTACTGAACTTTCAGGTCTGAATGGGGCCCACGAGCACACCACTAAATGCGCACACGTGGCAGGATCCCCCCACATTTTCCCACAGGTTCTAGGTTTTTGTCTTCCCCCACGCTTTCCATATTTGCCCATCTTTTCTGGGGAAGTCACGATTAATTGTGTCTGTGTGTGTTTTCCCCTCCTGCATGCTGTCCGGTGGACATGCATGCAGGACTTGGTATGATTTCGTCATGTGCCCGCACATGTGGACACTGTGCCGCTT